TGATTAGGAGAGCGCCCTAGCCTGTAGGGTGAAAACCCCTACTTTATTCATTGCCGTCTTTTACATTGCATTATATATTGTCACTTGCTCAGCCTTTTTCTTCGTTTACCGTCTTCAGCTATATTCCCTGCCACCTGTCCTCAGTCTCCAACCTCCTCTCTCCCTCAGTAAGCTATATAATGCAGTTGTCTTTAGTCTTCACTGCACGCCTAAAACGGTGCTCGAGCATGGGCAATATCTTTCGAGAAGATTCATATTTTGCAACAATTATGCATTTAAAATAAAGAATAGTCATCCTAGCCCAGATTCATATGATAAGATTCTCTTAGTAGACCTTTCTTAAGTAATAACAAGAAGACTTTGCATGTAAGGTCCCTGCTGTATATGCCAGTCAGTACACAATCTGGCTGCTTTAGTGTGTTAGCGCATGCGCAATTTCTTACGAGAGGAGTTATATTTTGTGATAAATATGCATTTAATATGGTTAAGGGGTATCACAGCCTAGATTTATGTAATAAATTATTATCAGTCGTCCTGTGTTCATGATTAGGAGAGCGCCCTAGCCTGAAGGGTGCAAAACTTCTACTTCATTCGTTCCCGTCCTTCTCATTACAAATATATTGTCAATCGCTCAGCCTTCTTCTTCTTTTACCGCCTTCAGCTATCTTCCCTGCCACCTGCCCTTATAGTCTCCCACCACCTCTCTCCCTCAGTAAACTATATTATGCAGTTTTTTCTTGAGTCCACACTGCACGCCTGAAACGGTGCTTGCGCATGCGCAATATCTCCCGAGAATAATAATGTTTTCTAACAATTATGCATTTAATGTGAAGAGGAGTTATCCTAGCACAGATTTCTATGATAACATTCTATCAGTAGACCGCTCTTAAGAAATAGGAAGAAGACCTTGCATGTAAGGTACCCGCTGCATATACCAATCATCAGTACAGAATCGGTTACGGGAGTGTGTTAGCGCATGCGCAATATCTCACCAGATGAATTATATTTTGTTATGAATATGCATTTAATATGGTTAGGGTGTATCTCAGCATAGATTTTTGAAATAAATTTTTATCAGTAGATCGACCTGTGTTAATAATTAGCTAGGAGAGCGCCCTAGCCTGTAGGGTGCAAAACTCCCACTTCATCCCCTCCCGTCCTACCGGTCCTACCGCTTGACTCCCTTATTCCTCACTCAGTCTTTTCTGCAAAGATCATGCATTTAAAATGAAGAGGACATATCCTAGCATAGATTTATGTGACAACATTCCATCAGTAGACCTCACTTAAGACCAAGTCATAGGAAGACGATCTTGCATGCGAGTAGTAGCACGCCTGTCAGCAGCCTTTCATAAGGTAGTGTCACATAGTTATAGCGAGAAAACACAGCCTATATCTATTTAAGATCACCGCTGGATATACCAGTCAGTAGGCAATCTGTGTATGTTGGTGTGTTAGCGCATGAGCAATATCTTACCAAGGGAGTGTAATATTTTGCAAAAATTATGCATTTAAAACGAAGAGGAGTTATCGTAGCATAGATTTACATGATAACATTTCATCAGTAGACCTGACTTAAGACATAGGAAGAAGACCTTGCATGTAAGGTCCCGCTTAATATACCAGTCAGTACACAATCTGGCTGCGTTAGTGTGCTAGCGCATGCGCAATATCTCACGAGAGGAGTTATATTTTGTGATAAATATGTATTTAATATGGTTAGGGGGTATCTCAGCCTAGATTTCTATAATATATTCTTATCATTAGACCTGTGTTCATGATTAGGAGAGCGCCCTAGCCTGTAAGGTGAAAACCCCTACTTTATTCGTTGCCGTCCTTCACATTGCATATATATTGTCCCTCGCTCAGCCGCCTTCTTCTTTTACAGCCTTCAGTTATCTTCCCTGCCGCCTGTCCTTAGTCTTCCACCACCTCTCTCCCTCAGTAAGCTATATCATGCAGTTGTCTTCTGTACGTACAGCACGCCGGAAACGGTGTTCGCGCATGCGCAATATCTCCCGAGAATATAAATATTTTGCAACAATTCTGCATTTAAAATGAATAGGAGTCATCCTAGCACAGATTCATATGATAAAATTCTATCAGTAGACCTTTGTTAAGTAATAGGAAGAAGACCTTTCATGTAACGTCCCTGCTGTATAGGCCAGTCAGTACACCATCTGGCTGCGTTAGTGTGTTAGCGCATGCGCAATATCTCACGAGAGGAGTTATATTTTGTGATGAATATGCATTTAATATGGTTAGAGGGTATCTCAGCCTAGATTTATGTAATACATTATTATCAGTAGACCTGTGTTCATGATTAGGAGAGCGCCCTAGCCTGTAGGGTGAAAACCCCTACTTTATTCGTTGCCGTCCTGCTCATTGCAAATATATTGTCACTCGCTCAGCCTTCTTCTTCTTTTACCGCCTTCAGTTATCTTCCCTGCCGCCTGTCTTCAGTCTCTCATCACCACTCTGCCACCCATCTATCCCTCAGCAAGCTATATATTGCAGTTTTCTTTATTTCGCACTGCACGCCTGAAACGGTGCTCGCGCGTGCGCAATATCTCCCGAGAATAATAATATTTTGCAACAATTATGCATTTAAAATAAAGAGGAGTCATCCTAACATAGATTTATATGATAAAATTCTATCAGTAGTCCTTTCTTAAGTAATAGGATGAAGACCTTGCATGTAAGGTCCCCGCTTAATATACCAGCCAGTATAGTTACGTTACGTTAGTGTGTTAGCGCATGCGCAATATCTCACGAGAAAGGTTAGGGGGTATCTCAGCATAGATTTTTGAAATAAATTATTATCAGTAGATCGACCTGTGTTAATAATTAGCTAGGAGAGCGCCCTAGCCTGTAGGTGCAAAACTCCCACTTCATCCCCTCCCGTCCTACCGGTCCTACCGCTTGACTCCCTTATTCCTCACTCAGTCTTTTTTGCAAAGATCATGCATTTAAAATAAAGAGGAACTATCCTAGCATAGATTTATGTGACAACATTCCATCAGTAGACCTCACTTAAGACATAGTCATAGGAAGACGATCTTGCATGCGAGTAGTAGCACGCCTGTCAGCAGCCTTTCATAAGGTAGTGTCACATAGTTATAGCGAGAAAACACAGCAGAGCTACTGATGAGAATGCACTACTTCTACAAAAACTCGGCCAAGCGATTCCGTGAACTGAAGACGCTTGGTCAACACAGCAACATTAATGTTTTGAAGCCACCGAAGTCAACCGGGACGCGTTGGATAGACCATCGCAGACAAGCACTGCTGGCCATGATTCGAAATCATCCGATCATCGTCATGCAGATGGAAGACATGGCATCTGGTTTGCGAAGTGATGTTAAGGGAGATGACGTTGCCAGGTGTAAAGGCTATCTGAAGAACTTGAAAGCAGCAAAGTTCATTCTCTACTGCAACATGTATTTGGACATTGTTTGTAAGTTGGCCATTCTGTCGAAATCGTTGCAGGGAGATGAAAAGTCAGTTCCGATGGTACTTCTCTACATCGAGACCGCATTGGACGAGATCAAGGAGTTGACAGCGACAGATGGCACTAATCTCACCAAGTGCAGATCCGAGGGTGACGGTGACGTAGAATTCGATGGTGTCACATTTGAAAATGATCGCTGTGTGATCATTGATGCGATTGTGCATGCCATAAATCTACGGTTTGACAACTTTGTCAACAGTGACTTGATCAAGGCCATGTCCTTCATTGATCCATCAAACTGGCCAGATGATAGTGAGACATTGAAGGACTATGGCAATGATGATATAGATCGCCTAATGTCTTTACATACGTCGTCGGTATATTATATTGCCTGACAACTAACAATGTATCGATGTTACAATGTTATCGATGTAATATATGCTTTGTTAATTATCGAAATAAATAAATAAAAAATATTTAAAAAAAGAAGCTTTCTTTATCCACCTAGAGGTGGCGTGTAAATCGCTACGCACCTGTCCCGGTTTTATAAATGTAACAACATTGTAACCTAAAGTGTGTAAATATACGAATACGATGTCATTAAAAGACGTGCTAAAGAATATATTCTCATTCGTGGATATCCTGCAAAGATCGAGAACAGACGCCGTTGTCTCATGGGACTCACAAGCGATTGACGACGCATTTTGCTGGGCAAAATATTGCGAACAGGTATACACACCACGCCATGCCGCATGCGGACCACAGGCACTTGGGCCGTTTCAATAATAAAATGATGGATCATAAATACAACTTGCAGTACTACTACTAGACCTACCAGTACCAGTAATAGTCTTAATGTTTGATTTGACCTAATAACTTCACTTCAATACCGTCCAATACACCGCTGCAACACATAGCGCGCACGCCATATTGTGCACAAGTACACAGTAATATTAACTAATATAGAGTCTAAGACTAAGAGTGTATTAATACTAATAATAACTCTATACAGGTCCGTAGCCAGCTCGGGGGGGGGGGGGTTCGTGCGAACCCCCCGAACCCCCCCTGGATACGGGCCTG